CTTTATACAAAAAAAAAAAAAAAGTCTTTATACAGCAGAGGTAGAAGGTAAAAATAAAGGCATTTTCAGAGAAGCCACAACTTAAGAACTGACTAAAAAAAATGTGAATGATGTCCTTACGGAAGAAGGGACATGATTCCAGAAGAAAGGTGTGAAATGTGAGAAAGAATGATGTTCAAAGAAAATCATCAACATTTTTGTAAATTTAATAAAATATTGAGTGGTATAAAACTAAAACAGTATATATTATATATATACAGGCACAAAATACATAAAATAATCTTTGATGTTAATGTACTACACAGTGTAACTAACATTCATGCTATCATTCGAAAAAAAGGTTTTTTAAGTTTTATATTTTTTTATGACTCAGGATTTAAGGTAATATTTCAATAGAATGCTTTATTAGAGGAAAAAAATCCCTGATCTGAGTATTGGCAGCAGATCATGTTCCCCTCTAGCCCATATCCATGCCTTATGTATTTTTTTGCAATTGTAATAATCTGTGAGCTGTAATCATTTGTGGTTAATACTAACTTCATACTTAATCTCTGTTTGTCTTTAGTTGGATATATTATTTCACATATAGGATAATCTGGAAAAGGGAGTTAGTAATATAAGTACTAATTCCCAACCCACAGATTTGCTTAACATACTTGCTTTTGTTACTGTGGTGGTTATGTTTTTTTTCACTTCATTTTGTGAAAGCATTTTCCATTTTGATGTTTTCATATTTCATCAACCCTACCATGCACGTTGTTGCACATTGTAATTTCTCTGGAAACTGGGATACATCTTACAATATTTGATGTTATAGTTTAATAAACAGCAATTTTTTCTTTGATATAGTAGTACCCCTTTAGATTTTATAAAATATGGTGATGTATCTTTATAATTTTGAATGGCTATGTCATACTTTACCTAGTGAATGTGTCATGATTTCCCTTATTGTTTGTTTGGGTTATTTTCATTTGTTGGCTCTTACAAATAATGCTAGTATGTGAGAATATGAGGCGCACCATTTTATACAGTCTCTGTTAAAGAATGAGTTTGCAGGCTTGCCTGGGTGGTTTAGTCAGTTAAGCATCTACCTTGAGCTCAGCTCATGATCCTGGGGTCCTGGGATCAAACCCCACATCGGGCTCCCTGCTCAGTGGGGTGCCTGCTTCTCCATCTACTCCTCTCCCCTACCCCTGCTTGTGCTCTCTCTCTCAAATAATCTTCTTAAAACAATGAGTTTGCAAATTTTATGCTGATGTGTGGGCATTATTTTTAAGTGCTTTGCTAATCTAATAATTGTTAAGTGGTACTTTATTTTCCTACTTATGTGCATATATGTATATTTTTTCTAGAATTTTATTTTCCTAGTCTTTATGTTTTGGGTTTTTTTTGTTACAGTTTTATGTTATTCTGTAGTCATCAGTTTATCCTTTGTGATTAGTACCTGTTTCTTCAAAGCCAACTTTCTATGACATAATAGTTTACATTTAACTTTTAATTTCATCTTGCAATTATTTTGATATAATGCATTAGTGTTTCTGTTAGTATTCTTTTGAGAGTGAGACAGTTGATTACCTTCTGTTCAAAACCAACGTATAAAAGGATTTTGGAGTATTATACTGAGTATTAATTGCTTTTCCATTATTAATATAATTTAGTTCTTGGGGTACCTGGGTGGCTCAATCGGTTAAGCATCTGCCTTCTGCTCAGGTCATGATCTTGGGGTCCTGGGATCGAGCCTTGTGTCAGGCTCCCTGGTCAGCGGGGAGGCTGCTTTTCCCTCTCCCTCCCCCCGCTCATGCTCCCTTGCACGCGCATGCGCACTCTCATGAATCTTTAAAAAAACTTTCGGGCGCCTGGGTGGCTCAGACAGTTAAGCGTCTGCCTTGGGCTCAAGTCATGATCCCGGGGTCGAGCCCTACATAGGGCTCCCTGCTGAGCGGGGAGCCTTATTCTCCCTCTCCCTCTGCCTGCCGCTCCCCTGCTTGTACTCTATCCCTGTCTAATAAAAAAATAAAAAATCTTTAAAAAAAATAAATAAAAATTAAAAAAAAATTTGTTTGTTCTTACCACAGTTTATAGTTGTGAAAAATCGAGGGATATGAGTTAGGTTTTCCCACAATCATACAATTGTTAATGTCAGGGGCACCTGGGTGGCTCAGTCAGTTACACGTCTGCCTTCAGCTCAGGTCATGATCCCAGGGTCCTGGGATCAAACCCCGTATCGGGCTCCCTGCTCAGTGGGGAGCCTGCTTCTCCCTCTGCCTATGCTGTTCCCTGTGCTTGTGCTCTCTCATTCTCTCTCTCTCTGTCAAATAAATAAATAAAATATTTTTAAAAAATTGTTAATGTCAGAGCTGGGTTTTGAATTCAGGTATGATTGTAGAGCCTTAACCATTGTATGTTTAGGTAATAATTATTAACTACCTTGAAATAATCCTCTTTTGCTTTATTAAAGCCACATGCTACTCTGCATAACAGTTCTATAAATGAGGGGTATTTCTAGTATTTGCCTCATTTGCTTTATCTTCTTCATGTACAAATCTTATTAAATGAATTTTTTTAATTCTTTCATTGAATTTATCAAGACTCAGAAATTTGATTTCTCTTTCTGAAAGCTGTAGTCTTTGTTAATTGCCATTTCCTTGGGTAGAGACATAACTGGTATTCTCAGAATTGAGGAAAATGATGGAGGGTAAGTTTGTAAATACATTTTATTCTATTAAAGTGCTTAATATACAGTTAAATGCTGTTCACTAACAGGAAGGCTAGGCTATCACAAGCTCTTCACAGTTCTTTCCTGCCATTAAGCTATATACTTAAATTACTAAATCAAAATCAGCTTAGCTCCAGAGGCAAAGTTCTGGGAGGGTATTGCTGTAGTAAAGGCAGAAAGGGGATATATTATCTGTAGAGAATTTTTAAAACAATAATGAAATTGACTAAAAGGGCTATGCTTGTTATTATCCTATAACTGACCATTCTAAACAGTGTCAACAATAAAATACTACCCACTGCCACCACCATTTTAAGGCTCACCTCTTGCTCCCAAGAGGTGAATGAACCTTGACATGGAAAGGGACACTCTGGGGGCGCCTGGGTGGTTCATTCGTTAAGCGTCTGCCTTTGGCCCAGGTCATGATCCCAGGGTCCTGGGATTGATCCTCACATCAGGCTCCCTGCTCAGCGGGAAGCCTGCTTCTCCCTCTCACGCTCTCCCTGCTTGTGTTGCCTCTCTCGCTGTCTCTGTCTGTCAAATAAATAAATAAAATCTTTAAAAAAAAAAAAAAAAAGGAAAAGGACACTGTGTTTGAGCTTTCTCCTTTTTCCCAGATTATGTTTCAGTTGATAAAAGGAAGCAATCAAAAAATATATGTCAAGCTCTAACAAGGAAACAATGTTTCATTGGTTCATACATGTAAGTCATGTTGGTTCTATTGCACAGTATGGAAACTCAAAACTCATGTAAAATAATGGTTTATTAGATTAAAAGATTGCAGGGGAATTTCATGGACATAATTAATTGCAGAAGTACAGTCAGGCCTCTCAAAAACTGTCTTCTCAGCAATTCTTTCTGGGAGCTCTGCAGTTCTGCCTACCCAGAGTCCTGCTTTGGTTGCCATGTTTAGTGTTGGTGATACCTTAAAGGCTTTTTTTTTTTTTTTTTTTTAACCACCCCATGAGCCCTCCAGGTAGCAGAATTTCTGACAAATTTAAATGATAAATTCATTGTGTGCCAGTTATTTTTCATGAAAGCTGAATTCCCAGTATCTGCAGGTCATAAACTTGAATAATTACTTCTTTGCCCTTTGAATCAACCTTCTGGTGCCTGCCATCCAGGGGAGAGGCCTAAGGCTGAGAGGACAGTTAAAAGTAATTTTCTAGACACAGTGTAAACTTTTTGAAAGGTCATTAATGTACTTGAGAAGGATCAAGTCCTGTTGTTTGGTTGAATGAGGTAAAAGTGTATTTGTGCATCCTGCTTTCTTCCCCTCCTTTTACTTTTTGAATACTCTTCTCCACTCCCCACACCATGATCCATTTCTGCTTTTCACCTCTACATGTCTGTGATTAAATGATGTATGCAGAAGATTACTTTAAATGTCAATTAGTTATGTTGTGGACATTAAGAATATACACTTTCAGGACAAATGGAAAAGTACAATCTAATATAAGGCAGATTGCTGTTTTGTTGGGTTTTTTTTTTAAGATTGTATTTTTTTTTTTTTTAAAGATTTTATTTATTTGAGACAGAGAGAATGAGAGACAGAGAGCATGAGAGGGAGGAGGGTCAGAGGGAGAAGCAGACTCCCTGCCGAGCAGGGAGCCCGATGCGGGACTCGATCCCGGGACTCCAGGATCGTGACCTGAGCCGAAGGCAGTCGCTTAACCAACTGAGCCACCCAGGCGCCCTAAGATTGTATTTTTAAGTAATCTATACACCTAACATGAGGCTTGAATTCATGACCCCAAGATCAAGAGTTGCATGCTCTATCTACCAACTGAGTCAGCAAGACATCCTAGATTGCTGTTTTTGACTTGGGAAAAATTTCCAGTGATAGAATCATTCAGACTCAAAGGTCTGTCACAGCATAGATGGCAATAAAAATTACATTCCCTGGAAAATCATTCCAGATAATTTGCTATAAATATACAAAAAAATAATGCCAAAGATCAGTGAATAGTTTGAATACATTTTATGACATTTGCAAGTATATTAGGGTAAAGCAGCATTTCTGTGTTAATCGTTTATAGAGATATGTTTCTTACTGTATAGGTAGCTAAATTTTATACATCTACATTTCAAGTCTGTCTCCTTAAAAAGATTTATTTTCAAGATGAGCCCAAAACTTTAAAATATTATTTAATATTTGTTATTAAATTACTTAATATTATTGGGGTTTTCTTCATGTTTAAGTAAAATAAAAGTCTGTTATCTAAATTTATAATTTTAATGCACTGACTTTTAAAATTTACAAATAGATCGTTTGATTATTTAGCAGGTAACATCTAAAGGAACTGGTTTAAATCCTAATGCCAAAGTATGGCAAGAAATTCCTCCTGGAAATACTGAAGCCACTCAAGTAACTCATGGAACTGAAAGCTCTTGGCATGAAACAGCAGCCACATCAGGGTCTCATCCTGAGGGTATGTCCTAAATACTTCATCAGTACAGATCATATTTTGGTTAAACATATGGCCAAATTAGTTTATAGAACTTTGGGGTATATCTTTTGATTATTTGATTAAATATATTTATAAATGTTTAACATGTAGTTTGTACACAGTTCTTATTTTTAGTATGAATGGATGGTCACTAATTTCAAATAGTAGCTGTATCTTTGGGTCTAGCATCATTGGCAATGCTCTTTACTCACTGTTTGACTTTGGGTTAGTGACCTAACTTCTCTGTGCTTGTTTCTTTCATCTGTAAAACAATAATAATTACTTTTGGCATAGGATTTTCTGAGAATCAAGTGAATAAAGAAGCTGCACATAGGTAGTACATAGATAGTGCTATATGAATTTAAACTATTGATAATCATTTTAGCTTGTCCATAATTTTAAACTTACCTTCCTCAGGAAGAGAACTCTTATTACAACCATGTGGACATTATCCCAACTGGTAGAATTCCTTAAAATCTTATTATAGAAGACCTAGTGCCCAGAGTTCCTAAAGATAGGATTTAAAGAATTCCTGTTTACTTTCAGTATGTTTTCTTTAATACAGGTAATACAGAGCTTTCAGATGATATGTGTAAGGAATATGAAGTAATGTATTCATCTTGTGAAACCACCAGAAATACTATAGGCATTGAAGAATCAACCGATGGAATGATTTTAGGGCCAGAAGATCTGAGTTACCACATATATGATGTTTCTGGTAAACTTTATGCTTTTATTGGTAAAACGAGCATATTGTACACTAATGTTTTTCCCCTTACGTTCTATCATTGTTCTAATAAAACTTTGGCATTGATCAGTCTGTTTTCTTATTTGAAAAGAACTGTATGTTAATGAAATGCTACATAATTTTTATAAATACTGTTTTCAAGTGGACAAACATGAAACTTGTGATTTAAAAGAATGTTTAAAGATCCTTTTAAAAGAGAGTATGAAATTAAATATAAAAAGAAAAAATAGTCAATATAGTTAAAAGAGACCTAAATTACAATTTTTCAGAGTGCCCAAGTTTCTTGGTCTTTTAGTTGGGATCAATGCAAGTTCTGTCAATTTCCCATTATTTTTGTTAGTGTGAAATGCATTTATAAATGTGAAGTTGCAGGGATTAATTTTGAGAAAATGGCTGTATTAAAAACATGGTTCTACTACAGTTCAACTTGTGAAATTTTTTTTTCACATTTATTTCATTAGCATGGGTTAGTATTTGGCTTGAATTTAAAATGGATGAGATTTAAAAGAAGCTAAAAATGGACCAAAGACCCCAACCACCTAACTTAACTTTTCTGATTTAAAGGATCTCTTTGGAAAATAAATGTAATAGGGAATACTCTTTTCTATTGCTGCTGAGTTCTGTTCTGTGACTTTCAGTCAAGATACATAAACCTTTGTCCTCAGTTTCCTTATTTATTATAAATATTTGGACTAGATTTCTATGTTTTGTCAGCTTGTAAGTTGATTTCTGAAGTGGCATGGGTGATATTTCCATATAATAATTTAAGGTGCCAGGTTCTTCTCCCTACTATGGTCATAATATACCTAACCACTGGGTACTTAATTTTTTATTTTATTTTATTTTTTATTTATTCATTTGAGACAGAGAGATAGAGAGCATGAGCAGGGGGAGGTGCAGAGGGAGAGGGAGAAACAGGCTCTCTGCTGAGCAGGGAGCCTGATGTGGGACTTGATCCCAGGACCCTGGGATGATGACCTGAGCTGAAGGCAGAGGCTTAACCCTCTGAGCCACCCAGGCGCCCCACCACTGGGTACTTTAAACAGAGAGTTGGTTTTAGTAATGTAGCAACCAGTTGGTATTTTAATAAGTTTCCTGTAATGACATTGAAAAGTTAAATTAAGTTATTGCTCATTTTTAGGTAGCACATTTGGGTGGTTGGATTTTGTATTAGAACGATTGCATATACATAGAAATAGAATGCTTCTTATATTCATTTTTAATGAAGTTAATATTTACTATCACTTTGAATCTTGAGTACTAAGACAAGGTAGTGTTAAAATCATGCACAAAATTTATTTATCTTTATATGCATTCTATTGTTTGTATTTAAAGGAAATTAGCCTACGTAATCACTAACGCTTTTTTTAAGAAGAGGACAAATTTCATGCTTTGAGTCTATGATGTTTTGTGTAAGATTCTAATAAAAGAGTGATGGTTTTCCAGGCTTGAGTTCCAAAAAAAAAGTCTCGTGTTCTGGGTTTAAATGATTGAAGGCATAGAAGGTTGTTAAGAGTTGATTTGATCCTTTGGATGTTTGAGTGTTTTAAATATTCCTAGGAAGGTAAAGAGCTCTATAATCAAGGAATGAAAAGAAAACAGTATTAAGAGATAACAGTTGAAGAAGTATGACTAACATCAGATTTAGTACCAGTTATAAAGATATATATAATCCCAATTTGTTTAGCTAGTTCGTTCAAATTTAGATTACTATTACTTTTGTTCTTTGAGCTTTCATTAAAGGAATAAGTAGTTATCACAATTTTTTTTTTTAAGATTTTATTTATTTATTTGACAGAGACACAGCGAGAGAGGGAACACAAGCAGGGGGAGTGGGAGAGGAAGAAGCAGGCTTCCCGCTGAGCAGGGAGCCCGACGCGGGGCTTGATCCCAGAACTCTGGGATCATGACCTGAGCCGAAGGCAGACACTTAATGACTGAGCCACCCAGGCGCCCCAGTAGTTATCACAATTTTAAAGATTTTAGGGTAGTGTTTTACGTAGGGTAGCCAAGTACCTTTAGTATTAATGGTGCTTTGTTCATTACTTGATAAAATAATTTCAAACTGGGCACCTGGGTGGCTCAGATGGTTAAGTGTCTGCCTTCGGCTCAGGTCATGATCCCAGGGTCCTGGGATTGAGTCCTGCATTGGGCTCCCTGCTCAGTGGGGAGCCTGCTTCTCCCTCTGCCTCTCTCTGTCTGTCTCTTATGAATAAATAAATCTTTAAAAAAAATAATTTTAAACGGTCTGAACTCTAGAGAAAGAACAGATAGGTTGAAATTAGACTTTGTTAGAATTCAGTTGAACTTAAAAATAATAGTTTTGTTGTGAATTTTAATTTGTGCATACTTTGTGATGTATTCTGAGTACAACTTTATGCAGTGTTTACTACCTATGGTAATTTGGTATTAACTTTTTTCCTCTGTTTTCTACCTTCAGGGGAAAGTAATTCAGCAATTTCTACAGAAGACCTAAAAGAATGTCTGAAGAAACAATTGGAATTCTGTTTCTCCCGGTATGTTATTCATATTTTTTTATTGAGATTTCTCATTTTTTGAATTGTTTGGTTAGTAGATGTGAAATACCTGTGAAATAGAGTGGAAGAATGGTGGTTTTAATTTCCTTCAGTGAACTAAATTTAAAGATGTAGTCTCTAATTGGATATGCAAAGGATCTAGTCTTAGTAGAAAAGATAATGAAATACTGGATTGGATTACTTTTGGATTGGGTATTGGATACTTTTCCTAGAAACATACTCAGGTTTAGGGTTCTCAAAACAGTGGTTATCTCTTAATATATCTTTTTAGTAGCTAGCTTGTGTAACCTTTGATCATGGAGTTATGATGGGCATAGAATTTATGTTACTAGTGTCTTCTATTAAATAAGGAGTTCTTTCAGGCAAACGTTTCAAGATGTCTTTTTTTTTTTTTTAAGGTTTTATTTATTTGTCAGAGAGAGCACGTGCACAAGCAGGGGGAGTGGCAGGCAGAGGGAGAAGCGGATTCCCCGCTGAGCAGGGAGCCTGATGTGGGACTCAATCCCAGGACCCTGGGATCATGACCTGAGCTGAAGGCAGATGCTTAACTGACTGAGCCACCCAGGCGTCCCTTTTTTTTTTTTTTTTAAGATTTT